GGCACGGGGGGAGGGGGCAGTCGGGCAACAAAAGCTTGACACACGTAACGTGGCCTTGGGGCTGTGGATGGCTGTCGGCGAGCTGGCGCGGGCTGGCGCTGGCGCTGCTCGTCTCGGGTAGGGGCTTGGAGCTCGGGGGCTCGGCGGAGGACGCGAATGGGGCTCGGCCGCGGCCCGACGCTGCTCGGCCGTTCTCGGCCCGCTTTCGGCTCGACTCGTCGGCTCGCAGTCCGGTCGTCGGGGCGCTGGGGCGTAGCCTGGCAGGGCGCTGCGGGGCGGGGGGCGGGGGAGGGCCTAGTGCACGTGGAGTTCTAGCCCACGCCCGCGCCGCCGCGGCCCCGCGAGGGTCCCGCGAGGGCGCTGCGTGGCTTGGGGTGCTTGACCTTTGACCGGCCTGTGAGGGGAGGGGCGGGCCAAACCGACACGACACCCTAGGGCTCGCGGTCGAGGAAGTCACTCCCGAACCCGAAGGCGTCGTCGTCGACAAGCCGTTCGCTTCACGTTTACGAAGTCGACCTCGTGGCCCGGGTCATGCTCGGCGACAGCGCCGCGCCCCACCCGCATGTCGCTGCGAGGGTGGGGCCAGAGTTTGGCGGCGGGGCGCGTCATCCTGGCAAGGACAGCGGCAACAGCGGCGCGGCCCGCGGCCTCGCGCGTGCGAGTCTGCGGAGACCATGCCGCCAGCCCGGCCCGGCCTGCAACAGGTGGGCTGGCCTCGCCCTGCACGCCGTCCTGCACGGGGTGCTCTACAGGCGCAGGGCGGTGGTGAAGGAGTACTTGCTCGCCGGACGCTGTCCTCGAGGCCAGCCGCGAACCACACACTGCTTGTTCGCAACCACCTGCTGCCGGTGGCGGTGGCGTTGTTCGTTATGATCCTCCCCATCGCGGGACGCCCCCTCGGGCTCGGGGTTGGCTGGGCCGGCGTTGGCGGTGAGCGGAGCGGGTGCGAACGTCGGGGGGAGGTCCGCCGAGCCCGCCCCTACACCTGCCTGGGGGAGGCACACAGGTGGCCGGGGGAGGGGGGGGGGATAACCCTCCCTTTGTGTGCGAGGCGGGCTGGGGCTCTCCGGCCCGGCGGGCCATCCCTGCCATCCCTCCGCACTAACCAGCAGACCTGCGAGGGTGGTGTTGTGATGCCTCCCCCCCCCCCCTCCTCCTCGCGTCACGGGCGTCGTCCTCGTCGTCCTCCGGTGGCCGTCCTTTGTGCTTTCTTGTGAAGTCTAACGGTGTGGAGCTTTGGCCAGCAACAACACCGTGCATGATGCCCGTGGATGTGTTTGTCACTTGCCCCGCGCACTCTTGATGTGTGGCTCTGGCAGCAGGCTCCATACACTCGGATTCACCACACATTCTGGTCCTGCTCATTGTAAAGTGACTTGTCGCGTCGACAGCACAACTACCGTAACTGCAGCAACAACCCCGACGTCGGTGGACGGCCAAGTTTCGCAAAACCCATCCCCATGGTAGTTTGTGGAAATAAATAAATAGCCTGTAGCCCGCACATGTGGTTTATGCACCATCCCCCGGTTGGAGGGCTCAGGCCCTCGCCCCAGCAGCCACTCCGACCCCACCGCCCCGACTCCAGTCCGCCCGCCCCCAGGGCGGCGGCGCAGCGGGGCGGGGGCGGCACCCGGCCCCGGCCCTCGCCGGCCCAAGAGGGCCTGTCTGGCCGAGGGTGGATTTTTAGAGTCGGGGGGCGAACGAGGGTCTCTTCCATCCCATTCCATCCCCTCTGGCGGCTCCGGCGGGACGGGGGCGGGGCGGGGGCGGGCGGCCTGCCCTATAGCCAGGTATACTGCCGAGGGAGTAATTTATTTTTCTTTTCGGTTGTCACCCCCCGGGCCTCCCCCGGACCCACGACGGCGCATCCATCCCCCGACCCTCGAAGCACTCTCCGCCCGACCCCCCGACCGGGACGAAAAATACTTTCCTCGAAATGAGGGTTGCCTCCTCTGCGCTGAAATTGGCGAGGGGTGAGGGGTGGAGGCGGGGGAGGGTCGTGCTTTCTTTCTTCCTATCTTCGGGCGCTCGGCGTCGGCGCTGGCGGTGGCGCCGCCCCAGGCGGTCAGGTGGCGGCGGTGTCCAGCACGGTCCTCGTGATGCCGCGGCGTGGCGTGGCGTGGCGGCTGGGTGCGGTGGCGCCGGGACCAGCGGAGGGGCTACATCCGCACCGAGCCGCGGCCCCGCGGCCCAGGGCGGAACCAGTGCGGGGGCGGCCGCCGGGAGGCCGGAAGTGGAGGGCGACCGAGAGAGAGACAATCCCTGTACAGAGAGGACGAGAAAGAGAAAGAGAGAGGCGCGAGCGACACGGGAGGACACTGGGGAAATACAGCAAACGTGGTGCCTGGCGACCTATATTTCCACCGGGCGGGCCTGGCCGGGCCGGCCAAACGCGACCGTGTCAGGCTGGCCGCTGCGCTGGCCGCTGGTCGCGTCGCGTCCCGCGCCCGGCTGCTTGTTATGGAAAGTGCTGCTGCGACTGCAATAAACGCTCTGCTCGCTGCTGCGCCTGGCCGGGAGTGCCTCGCATTATGACATGGCGGGGG